TTTTTTTTTGCCCCCCCCCCCCCCCGCCCAGTGAAGATACAATAATTATATCAATCAGAGATGGGGAGGTCAAGTCAAGTCATTTTTGAAACAATGGCAGATTTTTTCATCACAGACACTAGCAACCATCCATTTTCCATCAATGACAGGAGCCAATAGATAATAATCTCATTACAGATCTTAAAAATAAGTTACAGCTGGTAAAATGCTTTTCCACAATACTTCTAAGTGAGAAAGAAAGAAGCAAAATGCAATTGTAACTAGGGATCCAGTTTGTTGTTCTACTGTCTCGTTTTTATTCTGAGAAACTCAAGTTATATCTTTTGAAAAAAAGACTAGCATGATAGCAAGTCAGAACTGACAGATCCGTGCTTCATTCTTCCTTCTCCTAATTGAAAATGTATCCGCGAATAGCCACCGTTAATTTGATAGCCTCTCTTGTTAGAGCTGAGAAAAACAGCTGTTAACTCTTATCATGGATATGTCTAATAAGAGGATGCACTGCTAAATTAAAGAGCGACAGATCATACAATATGGAGAAATAATCAATATTGCTGTCAAAAAAATAAACAGTTCATTTACTTGATTGAGTGAGCCGACAGGAGTAAATATTAGATTGCATGCAAGATACCGAGCTCGTTTACACATTGTATTGAATATTTTTTAATGAAAATCAACGAGCATGAATCATAGTAAATATATATCGATGTTTTGACTGAAGGAGACAAATGTTTTAGTGCGATGATCGGTGAGTAATAGTTGTTGTTTTACTATCTGCATGAGTCTCAGTCATTAGTAGATTTACTGATAACATGCAGCTCCAATTTTCTTATAACTATCATAATTACACATATGGTGCTAGCGTGACTGATCAATAAAATGGAATAAAATATATTTCCAAGATGTTCAACATTTTGATATACACTTATAGTGAAAAATCAGGTTAAAGATAGATTTCAAACTTAGTATTCTATTTCAAAAACAATAATTTAAATTTGGACGAAGACCATGTCATGGTCGAAAGTTCATTTGCCTTATATCATCTACATTTGTATACTATATTTAACAAAAAGAAATAAAATTTCTACCAAAGAATGAGTTGAGAAAAATATCCGTTTACATTAAATTAGCTAAGCTGTAAATTTGTTTGGAATAAAAAGATAAGTAATATCCATCAGTGGCAATTTAAAGATTCTCCTTAATTAACAAAATTTATCTCAATGGAGGGCAATATAAATAGTTCCATAGATTTAATTTCAGGAGCAGTTAAAGTAGTTAAGTAAATCATTAGTGAAGTTATTTGCTCAAAACCTAACTACGTGTTTTCTAAGGATTTTTATCTATTAAATTTACTGTTTATTCAACAGAAACAAGTATCATTTGATGAGATCGTTCAGTTATCTTAGGCATATTTGTAACTGATCTAGTTCTTTCAAATTGAATTATTCAAAATCATGCATGTCGGAAAATTTTGCTTTAGTTTATTGTCAAGAAATAAGAAAACAAAAATTTCGTAATATATCGTCTACGATGTCAACTGTAACTGAAAAAACGCTTTATCAGTTTCGACCATAAAAAAGGTAAAATAGAATAGTTAGACAGGTTTAGATCATTATATTGATGAGCAATTGGTACTAGTTATATCTATTGTAGAAGCTGTACCATGTATAAGTGATCTCAATCCGTAGGACGGTTCAACTTTTCACATCGATTTTATTGATATGAGTAGTCTATTGAGATAGAGCCTATTTTTTTAATTAACCCTTATGCGATAAACTATTCTTTATTATTTTAGCTGTGCCTGCTAATAGTGCAGCAATCGACTCGCATACGGTGGTGACTGACACTGGAAACTCATTGAAAGGTACAATGGTTTTGTCAAATTGTGACATTCAGTCACTTGCAAAATCGACAGCTGCATTGTCTCAAACTTTGGCACATGCAGTTCAAGCAAAAACTACAAATGCTAATTCGCAAGTTCAGGTGAATACTATCAGACATCTATCTGATGGTACACTTGCTCTCGATTATCAATGTACAGCTGTGGCTGATCTAGAGGCAGCGAAAATGGCCTTAAACAACGCTGTCCAAAGAGATGATATCAAGAATGCGATTGCTCTGCGGACAATTGTTGTTGCATCTGAAGCAGGCGAAAAAAGCCAACAGAATAAAAGCCTGTATAGTAAGTTCGATCAGTTCTTTATTATATCTGCAATTTATGTATTCATGGAATCAGAAACATCTTGAATCAGCTTTTCATTTAGTAATTTTATATTAGAGTAACAGTTTATTAGAGGGGTCAATTCACAGTTAGCTTCTTTCTCGATTTAATAAATTCTTTTCAATTACAATTCAGCAACCCTACTATCGATGAAATTTTCTCTCTTCAGGCACTTCCTGTTGTATAAATAACTCGTTCAACGAATATGAAGTCAGTTTACTATTGCTTTTCATCATTTACTTCAGCCAAATAATTATACTATATTGAAATTCACTAGTTTCTCTCTGTCTATTACAATAATAGTTATAGAAGCAATTTTGTTAGAAAAGGAATTTTGGGTTTTTATTTCTATATTATAAAATTCAAAATTGAAATAATTTTATGAGAAAAGTAAGTAAAAATCCTACATTTAAAGCAATATTGTATCAGAAAAGCTGTCAGAACAATCCCTGTGGAATTAAAAATGTGAAACACGAACTGTTGTTGCTAATTATCTAACAACTTCATTTTTTATGCATATTCGGACAGATGTCTATATCACAGCTAATTTTGCAGCCTATAATTATAATATATTCCAATCAGTTGTTGCTCATACATGAAATATGACCACCTCTTGAAGTGATCTGTTGCGATCGATGATAGGTTCGTGAATCTACCTGACACGCTCATCCATAAAGCCATGCACTATATGTAATATCTAAAAATAAAGCAGTCCATGTCTAAATTATATCAATATTGCCTAACTTCATACAGTAGCATCGATTCTGGTGAAAGGATGCTTTAAAAAAATCCTTCAACCTAATTTAGAGATTCAATAACTTTTAAATCAATTAAGTATCTGAATTCTAAAATGTTCCGTCTTTAATTCAACACATTATCACTTTTACCAAACCGCTGTCAATGAATTTATCGACATACCTAATCAATTGAAAGCCTATACATGCGTTGCCAATGACGACAAGTAATAAGAAAAACGTTATCCTGAAAAAATCTTACGGGGGCCATGAATATGAAGAGAGATAAAAACACTCACACCCATCCAACCGAACCCGCGCCATATAAGCTTTAAGACCGCTCACAAATTGTCTATAGCTCCTTAATCACCTTTCAGCTGCATCCGAACCAGCATTCAAACCATCGAAACTAGGTGAATCGGAATCGACTGACAGTGATGCCAAACAGGGAGAATTCGAAGCGCCGAAACAACCTGCATCTCCGTCGCCTAAAAGTGACGTCAACCACGAAATCACCAGAGGACCCAACCGACGTGAAGGTGACCAGTCAGGAGGTGAACAAATGCGTGAAGCATCCAAAGCACCTGGACCAGCTGAATATGGTAACCCAGGAGATGATCACAAGGGAGGACCGTTGAGTGGACCCAAACCAAGTGATGCTCGCCACCCTGGGGATGATCACAACGAAGGACCACCGAATGGACCTAAACTAAGTGTTGCTGGGCGTCCAGGAGATGACCACCAGGGAGAACCGGCGAAGGGACCAAAACCACTTGATGCTGGACACCCAGGAGATGACCACAAGGGAGTACCACCAAATGGACCAAAACTAGTTGATGCTGGACACCCAGGAGATGACCACAAGGGAG